ACAATTTCATGAATAAATAGTTGAAACTGGAATAATGCTGATAGCTTTGAAATGATATCAGGTTGGCTTTGAAGCGAGGTAAAACGTACAGTTGTTGGTCACACTACTTCTATTTGATAAATATAACAAAGCTTTTTTTGTTGAGGTTTTTGAAAAGGAATTATTTACTAACTTCAAGTTATTATTTACTGATTAAACTATTGCTTAGAAAAGCAGTAGGAAATAGTAATATTTTATTGGTTCAACTAGAAAATTGATGCTAATTGAACCAGTGAATAATAGACGGTATACAATCCGTTAGTAAACAATTATAATTTGATTATAAATATTGTATGACTTTAGAAAATGAAACTCAAAAACTTGGTGAAATTTCATTGAGATTATGCATAATTTCCTAGATAAACCAGTTAAATTTTTACTATTAGTAAGTAATATTTAAAAATTTTATTCATGTTTTTCGACTCACCGAGTTTCTAAAAATAATTCTACTGTTTTCCATTGAAAGATCATATCTTTTTTAAGTAAGGCCACCACCACCTATGTCAATGATGAAAATTCCTCTATCTTCATAAAAAAAAGTCAAAGCATCTTTTTCTGAAAAAGAGATTGAAGCCCATCGTCAAACTTGCTTTTCTGCTCCACCAACTAATAACCTAACATAAAAAAAGGAACAATTGTAAAAAAAAAATTACTTAAGAGGAATGTTAAAATAAAAAATCAAGCCTGGAAATACTTTTCTTACATCTTTCCAAACTTCTTTGTTTTTTTTATTCTAAAAAGCTTTGCAACTTGGTAAAAAATAGAGAACTATTATCCTTCAGCTTTTCTTTATTTTCAACAAAATAAAAGGAAGTAATGAAATTTTTATGAAAGATGTAAAAAATGAAGCTTATTAACTTGACAGTAATTTTCTTTGTTCACTAATATTGAGATTCATTTGTCATATTTAATTTTTATTGCCGTATAGATTCGATAAAAAATATCTTATGAATTTCACCAATAAATATTCACAATAAAATTGGAATAAATTGATATCTAATGACATGCAATATTCAAACGTACAGAATATACGAAATACCATATGTGAATAAGGGCAACAGGTATACATTGTTGAGTTAAACGGAATTGTAGTACTAAATTGAATATTACATGGATAACGACATTCAATGAGTAATTTATGAGTATTCCCTGATAAAATTATAGGTGCTTTGTACTTCATAGCGTATTAAATTGATAATCATGGAAATTCCAATAACAAACTTTATTACTAAGGCAAAGTAGAAGCATTAGCATGATAATTAATCGATTATTTAACATTCTTTAATATGTATATTAATTCAGTTAAGAATTGTTAAGGCTGTGAATGGTTTTTTTTTAGTATTTCACTAAAGTTTCAGTGGATTTATACTTGACAACTTGTCAAGAAGTTCTGTTTATCCGGCTGTAGGACTTGGCAATCAAAGTCCAAGTTTCTCAGTTCCTACCCCAGTATAACTTGGGCAATTTCCGCGGTCGAGTTTGAGACTAGTCATCTCCCATAGAATACGGGTAGTTTCTTCCATACCATAGAGTGACGTGTGATAGACAAGGTAAGGTTTCCGATGGTTTCAAGAAGAAAAATATTTCTAAGAGAAGTGTAAGTAGCTGCCAATAAACTGCTCGAATATGACACTTTGATATCAAATTTATTGATTTGTATTTATACCTTGAAGCATAATATACTATCATATTTGAAGATATTTTAGAACTTTGTAAAATACATTCAAGACATTCTAGCTGAATGAGTTTCCTTTCATATACTTCGGAGATTTAAATCAACTTTCTGAACTCCTTTGTTAACTCAATTCAAAAAAATAACACATTCAACTTCAAGAGAAGTTTCTGCGGATATTAAATGCATTCAATTGCCATCTAGCTGCTTATGTTGATATCAATCGAGTGTTAGTACTCAGTTGGTAACTCTAGAAGTCATGCACTCGTCAACAGTAGTGATCAAAAATAAAAAATTAATGCAACTTAAATGTTGTTAAAAATTAAATTTATGGATGCCAATGGATAGAAAAAAATCTAAAAATGATAGAAAAATGAAAAAAAGTGGCAAAAAGTTATTGGTCGGATCATTTTGACCAGGCTGCGAATGCGGTCCCACTCCCGGACGCGATCCCACTACTGCCCGCCACGGAGACTTTTGGCTGCTGAGTTTCCTCTCTGGCCCGGTTCGCCTCTCCTTAGCTAACCTGGCCACCCCGGACTCCTCCAGGGTGCCCATATTGATGGCGAGCTTAGTGCGGACGTCCAGTCAACGTGGATCCCGCACCCACAGTGACTCCCGACCTCAGACCCTCCACAACAACTAGCCTCCGAGTAGCCGGATTACAGGAGCCGCCACACTCCCAGCTGAGAACAACCGCTTCGTATTGTCTATATGAATTAAAACCTCGACCTACTTTTCAATATGACATACATGCGCAATGGATTTAGTTTTAAATTTGAAAGATTTTGTCTTTATACTGAAGCATTTATGCTAAAAAAGAATAATAGGTTTCTTGCATTTGTCATATTTAAAGAACGTGTTATACTTTCTAGCTCTTTATGAACAATAAAGAATACTTTACATTGAAAATAACTTTTTTTTGAAGTAGAATTTTTAATAAAAAACAGTTATTTTATATTATTTTTGATAAAACAGAATGTTTAATAAAAACGTTTGACGAATATTGTTTAAATTAAAAATCATTTATATTTTAATTAAAATATTAAATGTGCTGATAATCAACTTAATTATAAAGCAGTAGATGGATGATATTTCATAATGTAATTGACAATGTTTTCATTCAAAAGACTTTCATAATTAATCACACTATGACATGATGTATATTAATTTATGATAACTTTCAGATTTTAGCATATGAAATCATTTATTATTAACATTGAACAGTGGCATATAATCTAAGAAGTTTCATAATCAATTAAAGTATACTATATTATACAAAATATAAAGCCAGAAGATATATTTTCATAAAATGAATGATTTATCAGTCATAATCACTTTTATTATTTCATATCAGTGCGAATATGAAGGTAATTTTAAGTTTATTATAAATCAATTTGATGTAAATTAAAACTAATAACTTTCAGAGATTATATTTACTTTAAAATATATTGCAAATGAATTTGTAATAGAGTTTGGACAAAAATTACTCACTGTCTCATATTAAAATGTAGTAATTAAATAATCAATTATTTTTAAAACGATCAAAAAAGACTATAGTAAAATTATTAAAAGGACTTCTTTTACTTGATAAATTTATTTATAATTCATCATTTATAATAATTAATTCTGATATAGTCCAAAGGCTTTTAATTTAAAATATTTATATTTAATAATCATAAAAGAGAACTGATAAAATTTCAGAGATGAAAATTTAGATTTTTGCATAAAAAAAGTGATGGAAAAATGGTAAAGTGGGCCATCTCCCTTAAATCTTGTCGTACTGAATCAAACTTTTTTCAAGGAGTACTGATTTTTCATGGATATATTTTCAATGAATAAATCGCCAACTAATCTTGATATACAGCAATAGATTTAGCAGAATATTAACGAGAGACAGATCAGCAGAGAGGTCTGAATTTAGCTGCTGAATTGGCTATAAAATAAACGAGTGCTGACGCTTGAGTATTAAACGAGCAAACCTGAAAGCCGTTCTCTTTCATATATATCTATAAATCAAGTTTAGTGAGAGTGAACTGGCGATCAGTCCCTACGTTATCTTAACTTCGTACTCCGTTAAACCCTTTAATTAAAGAGGCAATAGGGAACTCATTAAATTTCCCATTCAACAGTGATTTCTTATTTCACTATCGCAATGGTGAAAAGTTATGGATCTGAAATGTACCATTTGTAGGGCTTATATGGTCTAAGCACATGTCACCTATAGAATAATATAGTGCAGACTGGATGAAAAGTGTCTCTAACGGTAATCCTGGAAAATTTATCAAGACTCTAGTGCGAGAATACTATACTAAAAATCTTGACTTTAATCTTCTTATATTCTTTTTTTTCTAAAATAAAAATCAATAAACATCTTTCCCGGTAGTTAATAAAAAGCTTTTGAACAGCTAGAGAGAACAAAATATCCGGTTTCCGTAAGGAAAAGCATCACTTTTAAAAGTAACAAAAAAAGACGAAATGGCTGGAGAAAATAGCTTGTCGAATGTTTTTATTTATATATATTTGCTCTACTTTTATTCTCTAGACGAAATGACTTGTCACCGATACGCATAAATGTTTATTTAAAAGACAAAGACTATCAATAAATGAATTTTAAAATAAAATATGTAGATAATTGATTAACAGCTATTGTCACAGTATTATAAAAATAGATTGAATGCGATATTTAATTAAAGTCATAGAGATTTTTAATTAATATTAAATACTTGGTCCAAAGATATATCAATATCGACAAAAGTAACATTTATTTTCATTTGTTTCACTGACAATAATTAAACTGTTCGTAATAAAATTAATAACTACGTGGATATATAGTGCAGTGTAATTTTAATTATCTCGTCTAATAGCAGGATCCAAATTGCCGACATGGAATGCATAGTACGGGTGGACAGTGTCCGCATAAATTAGTTGAAGCTATTTGCCGACTCGACGTGCTCGATCGTTAATGCCTACCAGCCAACAGTATTCGTGTTCCAATTATCAGCAATAACTCATAATCAGAAATCATGTATTTCATGCGAATGCTGCCTGTTTGTTCATCGTTTCCTTAGTCTACATCATTTAATAGCTATTCATTTGTCTATCTACGAGGTACCAACTAAATTATCGATTTTTACTACATTTCATCACAGCACATGTTGCGTAGTGAATTATTAAATATTATTCAATTAAAAGACATATAAAATATGAGATGAATTTTCGGAGTATGTTCCTTCTCTTGTATTTGATGATAACGCAATACACATGTGTATACATCAACATGGCTAGATAATTGGCGAGCATTCCCAACAAAATGAATAGTAACATCAATCAATGTCATCAACAACAACGAACTTTATCCTTTTCACTCCCACACTTTTCCAGTCTTTTAACGGTGATTAAACTAGAGGTTTTACATACAGACACACCAGCTTTTATTAATTTGTGATGATAAGGGTCACTATGGTGAACATTTTATCAATATCTTTTGTTCTTTATTTCACCTTTGAAACAGATAACAAACTATCCACATTAAATCATCGAATACTTTTTATTGACTTTACTTCTGATGAATAGTAATTAACTGTGAAGAATTTGCAATTCATTTTCGATTGCTTTATAAACTTGATTAACATGCAGTAATGATTTTTCCAAGTTCCTCCGGATAAAGTCCTGAATAATACGTCCAATGGTATGCTGGAAATAGAAAAAATTTTATAACATTTGCGGCAACTAGTGCGGATGAAAGAAAAGAATGAATAGAAAAGAATCAGTGTGTGACACGTGCCACATCACAATGATTCCTTTCAGCAATGGTTATCATAAGAGAAGCAGCTGCTGTTGGATATAAAATGACTATTCAATTTTGTCGATACAAGAAAAAGCTTTGTGTGGTCGGGAGGATAAGACAAGTTGAAGATTTCTATGTCAACAAAACAAATATGTCAACTGTTTGGTGCTCTACTTCTGTTCTATCGTCAATAAATTGACTAATTAAAAAGTGATGAAGGAATTGGAGACAATAGGGGGATTGAGGTGAGAAGATAAAAAAGACGTAGTTGGGGAATGAAAACTTGCTCATTCCCGCCAAAAAATAAGCAGATGCGTCCCCTTATGATGCATAGCTTCTTCATACTACGTAAGAAAAGTTCATTGAGGGTTGAGAATTGCTTTGTTGCTCGTGCAGGACACGTGCGACTAAGAATAGACACGACCGTTTGGATGATCTGCTGCAAGAAATAACGGTCGAAGAAGATTCTCGAGGAACGGCTGATGCTACAAAACGAATACCTTCATTTTTCTACGCTTCAACTAATCTTTAGGGTGCTGGTGCAATAAGTATCTCAAAGAGCTTTCTTTAAAATCAACCATTGTTGCTACTTACGTCATACTTACATATAGGGGATTTTTGTACGAGTTCTTTTTGAAGATTGCTTTGAATAGACTATGTACTCACGTGAAATAGAAATGCAGTTCTTTGAGAGTAGACTGTGACTGTAAGAATTGATTGATTGTGATAGCACTTTGTTCGAATTTCGATGCGCTGTTTGATTGATTGGTCTTGCGATTCCAAAGCTAAATATTTCCCTGATCTGAATTCGACAATCATCAAATGAATGTTTTCTCCACCTAGTTAAACATGGATTTTTTTTATTTTTAGGTGCAATAAAAGCTTTTATCTGATTGATAGAATTGAATATGTCTATGAAAATGTAAATGCTATATGACGGTTGTCTACCAGCAAACTAAATTAATTGTTGAACTACTTTGAAAATTTCATTATAAAACATTTAAAGTTTGAATATACTTTGAAGTTTATCATCAAGAAATAATATTCATGTTGTCATTCCAAAACTATTAGATAGCATATAAAGTTTTTCACTTTCTATTCATGCTTGAATCAAGCCTTTGCTATTCTTTCAAATTGGAACAGAAAATATTTAAATGATGTAAAAGTTTTAACTTCTTTATTTTTCAACGCTCTTCATCAAACAAATAAATTATAGTCTTGAATTTAAGAGATCGCTAAAAAAGAAAAATTTTTATTGATCCTTAGAGAGCTGTATTTCTACTAAAAATAATCAGATTTTAATGAATTAAAGACCATTTTAAATCTCAATTTTTCTGATTCAAATAGAATTAATTTTAAATATTTTACAAGCTTCCACTATCGTGCAATAAATAGAGAAAGAGTAATTAAAAAATACATCGTATTAAAAAATCATTTCAATTACTTTTTCCAGTAAATAATAAAAATGGTGAGATCTAAAAATAAATATTCTTTAAAAAGAAAAAAAACTTCAAAAGCTTTTTAGAATTTTTGTAATATTTATTTTAGTGATTTTCCATTTCTGAATACTGGAATATTAGTTTTTAAAAAATAAATAAAAGTTAATTTTAAAAAGACATAAAAATATAAAATACCTCTTAGTGATTACCTATAAGAATTTTGTCGAAAGCTTTATAAAATTTCCTCACTCCAAGGATCTTCGAATCAGCTTCTTTCAGTCCATTGAACCAAGGTAAGAGCTGTAAAGAAGACAAGATATAATAATCACAGACGATATCTTACATCAAAAGGTATTAATATTTGATCAATTTCCTGTGAAAACTAATAGAGTAGAAGCAATTAATGAAGGTGCGAATCACGAGAAATTCCAACTACAATAGGAATGTGATCTGAAGCGGCTTCCTATAATTGGAAATGCAAACCTTCACACTCGACTGACTTGAATACAAGGGTTGCGAATGAACGTAATGACCTACCCGTATTTCTCCAGCTATGACTGCATTACACCCGCATTACGTACATACGTACGTAGATTGCTTTGTTCGATTGATTATAGCAAGTTAGGGTTCGTTTTTTGGCATAAAACACCAATGTTTTTAAAAATATTGCAGACACAGCTTTTCCATTTGAATAAATTTACATATTTTGTAGCATTATTTTATCAAAAGCCAATCTATACCAAATATTCTTTTATTATTAAATTTTATTCTTTCGTTTTTTGTTAGAAACTTCAAAGAATCAGCAACATTCGCCAAATCAACATCAACGATATTGAAGGCAGTACACACCAGTGAACAAATATTAATGATAATCAGTAACAAACATTCAGAAGTGATTAAAAAATATAAATTGTTTTATCTTAGATAATTGAATAGCACAGATAACACAAAATACTTGAAATGGTATTGGCAGAATATTTATGATTTATTTATTCTTTAACTTAATTGAATAGATCAACAAGTCTGTTACAATTAATTATTAGCTACATTCATGGTACATAGAATTTTTTGATGCTAATATCTCATGATTGTATAAAACTTATTAGACTAATACTATGTTAATTAATTCATCTATTTTATGTGATCTCATGGTTGTTTTTCTTTAATTTAAAAAAATCTGTTATCAATCACAATATTATTGTATTGTAATAGTAAAACATGCAAAACGATTTTTCAAGTTTTTTTTTATTTAATAATCGAAATACTTCAATCTACAGTATAATCATCATGTGCATCAATGACTTGTATCCACCTTGGGAGCAGAGACTGGATACTCTTCATCCAGTAGCATTTTATACTATACATTCTAGAATCTTTAGACTGTAAAAGTATTTCACTACTTTCTGCATTCTTCCAATATTCATTTTTCATAACGGGTTGCAGAAAAAAGAAAAAAAATCAATTAGTTCGGATGAATAAGAACCAATACTACAAAAAACATAAATAATTTAAGATAACAAATATTAAAATTAGGTTATTGACAACGTTAACGAAATTTTATGAGATCATTTTAGTAATTGGAATCTGAAATAAAATTGAATGGATATATGATTGAGGTAGCATTGTTTGTGAAAAAAATGCCAAAGAAATTTTTTTTATTCCAAGCAAGAACGATCGAAAACTGCAGAAGCGTAAGTAAATTTGTCACACCGCTCGGAAATCCCAAAAGCTCGTGTAACTAATTGCCGACATTGAATGTCGTGACCACGATAAAATAACGCAATAATGTTACATTGGTGTATCACTGGAAAAGCTGTAAAATTTAGATAGGCGTATGCAAGTGAATTACCACGCTTGTTTAATTGCGTGAAAGCTACAACCATTTATTTATAATTTTGTGGAACTACAAGTGGAGAGTTACCCTCCCTTTTACCAACGTTAATCTCTTGGGAAAGGACAAAACACATTGCGCAAATTTACACCACCGTTTTCACGAATGACCACCCTCAAAAATGCGAGGAAACGTGTTCAATGAACATTCCAGTTATTGCGACAGGTATATGCATTTTTATATTCTATGAGAATGTGAAAAATATTGTTGCGTATTCGAAACTCTCAAAGTTTAAATCAATACATCTTTTGGAAATTGATGCTGACATTGTCTATTTGTTGACATTAATTCATTTGCATATTCAAATGTTATTATGCTTCATTACAATCATTCTTTGAAAAAACATATCGGCGAGAATATCACCGGAGGCGATGGATTAATTTCAATTATTCTAATCAGAATGGTACGGTGGATCATCAAACGAACTGACAATTCAATTAGAAGATCAAATTTACATTAATTAAAAAAAATTATTTCCACAAACAATTACAATAATGCTTTTAAATATTTATCCACAAGAACAATCAAACCAAAAATAAACAATTATATCAAAACAATTTTGTTTAAGACATGTTTAAGATTAATCATATATTATTAATACTTTATAATGAAAACAAATTTTAAAAAAACCAAAAATACTAAAAAGTGTAGTTGAAAGATTAATTGTTTTAAATTAAACTGATTAATTCAAGAAATTAAAATATAGTGTAAATTAAGAATAGATTTAGAATATATTATTTATACTTAAGAAAAGAAATCATTATTTAAGAACTTCATAGTCAGGAGATTGTTGACAAATTTTTAATTATTTCTGTTGTATATTGAATTACGTCCATTAACTTTTTTTTCTATAATTCTTTAAATTTCTACGAAATATTTGAGTTCAATTTTTTGACATCTTCTTAAAATTTAAATAATCAACAACAAAAATAGTTCTTAAATTGAAGAAACTTTAAAAGTATGTTTAATAGAATTACAGTAATTATTCAGAGAAAGCTTATTTATTATAAATATGACAATTGATGAAAATTGCAGGTGAAAAAAAAACTGAAAAAATTATTTTAAAATTTTATCTAAAGTTATAATGAAATACAGCTCATATATCAACTAGTACTGTAAGTAATGAAATTTCCAATAATTAGGTACAAATAAAAATAATCTATTTATTTTTAATAATGAATATTTATTAACCTTTTCTAACATATGCGTCTGAGTGATAAAGTTAAAAAAAATAGTAGGATTAGCGTCGATCCTTTCGCTATGAGAAACAGCAAACTCCTGAGGGTCCACTTGGAGTTGATAAATCTCATAAATAGCAAAAGACGTCAGTAATAACCAGACTAAATACAACCGCATTAATAATGAATTTTTTTTTTTAATAAAAATGAATAGAAAAAGTGTATAAATAATCAAATGAAGCTAACACCACGATTACTTTTCATTGAAATAAATTTCTTTGTTGTTAACAAAGAATCTGAGTTGGTTTCAAGACATACTTAATACTGCCCTAACTGAACTTGACTATTCGTTGAAACCATACATAAAGTTTGTTCTCGTGTGCTAAATTATATTAAACTCGTTTACATCGCTAAACGTCATTCTAAAATGAATAGCTTTGGCTTCTACTCATATTTCTGAGCTCACTCATTACTTATTGCTGGCAAACAATGAAAAACTTTGATATTAAATTTTGATCTGTTGGAAACTTTTCATTACAACAAAAATTTTCAGATTTTATTTGAAAAAACAAATTTTATGGTCATCAAATGAATCTTCACTAAATGTCTTTATTATTTTTCCAATGGTTGAAGTTTTTATGTGATTTTTAGGACGAAGAGGTTGTGAGTCGAATAAAGTTTCCGGTTACGGAAAGGGGTTGCTTTGATTGACCGTGAGCTCGCAAGTCTCCCGTGACGATTTGAAATAGTTGCATGAGTGTGGCTATGTAAATAAGCATTGAACGACGAGTCCGGATCCAATGAATTATTCAACGAGGCATAAGTTGATATCCGGATACTCACGTTCCTCTACATATCCGTGGTATTATTTCCCATAATATAAAATAAAATCTTGCGTTTATTCAGTAAGATTGACAGCTGCTTTTGTTTCCAATTAGGAAACACGAAATTCAATGTTTTACTAAAATCGATTCAGCATGCTATACATGAATGTAGATGGTTCAAAGTCGCAGTATGGTACATGAATTTTCAATGAAATATGTTGAGACAAGGAAGTGATAAATGTGGTTGCGAATCAGACAGCAAATGTGATTTTCACATTTCTAATTAGAGAAGAACATAAATTTACTCTGAGCAGTGCTTGGAAGATACTGGTGTCTCTATATGTTGTATATTACATGTTACCAAGAATGTGCATTGTTCCGGAAGCAATTACGCAAACAATTGTAAAAAAGCTCTCCTCTGATTATACTGACATATATTTTTATTAAAAAATGTCATTTCCTCAGATAAATTATGTTTTCGAATAATTAAATGCTATTAAGTACTTCTATAAAATATAAAGTTAATTTAAACTACAAGTTAATTATACATTTTAATGATTCATTAACTATTTTTGTATAAATTTACATTAAAAGACTTATAATAATAAAAATATACATTTTTTCATAGTTGGAATTATTTACCTTCTTTTATATAGAAAAAATATACTCCTTAAGTGGAAAATGAGACAAAATATAAAAGGAGAAGATTAGTTCATTAGTCTGGGTAAATAGTCAGCATCATAAAAGACACAAAAAAATGTTTAACAAGTGTTATAATTAACAGCATGCTGTTTGAGGAAGTTTTTTCACATATCTTTTTGATATTATGCCATAAAACATTTTCATTGAATTTAGATATTTATTTATAAGTACTGTATTATGTATGATCAGCTATAATGTTCATTACAATACATGTTCAGACATGACCATGCATGCACTATCGAGTTGACAAGTACAGCGTGGTTATGCATGATCATACATACACACATATATGATCATCTGTAGTCATACATGATCGTTTTTTCCAGGTAGATATAAAGTGTAGACTCTATACAATATAGTGATACTTATTAAAATTTCAGAAAGTATTATTTTAATAACAAAAACAGATTTAAACGGAGTTCAATTTAACTTGACATGAATTATTAACATAACATATAAAAATAATTAATTGAAAGCTTATTATCCATTAAACTAAAATAATTGTTCTCAAAAAATATATCATTGAAAATAATAATTGATATAAAATATGAACTCTTCCATTCCACCATACGCTTTCTCATTATTTATCTGAAATGATAATTAAAAATTAATTCCATATGCTACAAATTTTCATTATTAACTATCAGAGGATTTTAGGTAATTCGATCAATAAGAATAATTTAGTAATACTGGTAATTTATAATGATTTTACTAGTAATATTCATTACGTGTACATTATTAGTATTTGACAATATGAAGATTCCTATTATAATAATATGTAATATATAGGAATAATGTTGAGTTGAGTTAGAGGAAAGTACATAAGCAAGTATTTGAGTAATATATAGAAGATAGTAGAATATTATGATCCAACGATGGTACAGGGGTAATATGTATTAGTAGGAATTCAACATTGAAACTGCCAAGAGGCATGTTACAATAATTTCATCTTCATATTATAGTCAAATAGTTTAATGTTTACAAGCCAAATTGAATTACATTCATACAATTGATTTTTAAAATAAAAGATGCATTTTTATCATTAAATTATCATCAACATATTTTCTGTTTTATTTCAATTTCATTAATTTAAAATAATTTAATGTATTGAATGTATTTTTTGTCATCAATAGACATGTAAATTTCTGATATTTAATCCATTCATAAAATATTAATTAAATGAAATCCTTGATGATTTCAACTTTGCTATTTATTTATGATGAAAATTTTCTGCATCAATATTGGTAATAAGTTTATGCTAATATGCATATGCATTATTGAGAAATTTCTGTGATTAATTGAATTTATTTAAATATTTGGTAAAAATTATTTCCTCTACATAAATGCAATTTTTGATGCTTTAAAATGATGCAATGATGATGTGATGTAATGTTATTTTACATTAATTATATTATTGATAATTTATTTGAATTTTTTAATTTACTCCCAATTTTATTTTCTGATTCATCGAGTTATGAGGTGAACAAATTCTGATAGAATCAAATTTTCAATCCCAACACCACATTTTGGGAATATTAAAAGCATTAAAAATGGTAATTAAAAACTAATTTAAAAATTTTCTTCATAAAACATCATATTTGATGAAAAGATCATAATTAAAATCATTTATTCCATTTCATTTTCAGAACGTTGTTAAAAACTGTATTTCAAATGAACAATTTAAATGAAATTATAATTGCATTGATTATTATCATTATTTTTAACGATTTCTTTTTGTCAAAAAAAAAACAAAAACGTATTTCCTTGGATATATCTTCGTTAATAATTATAGGGGAAACAACTCAGCAGGTGGACACGCCTAGAAGATGGAGCGGTTACAAAAATTAAAGAAAAGTTAAAATTTCATTAGAACCAACTCTATTGGAATTTTCTGGAAAACATTTATTATAAGGTAGGATAGTATAATAGAATGTTAAAAGATAAATTAATTATTATTTTTCATCAACTAATCCTCTTTTAACGTAGCTTTTAAAAGCTTCAATTCTATTGTTGCATTGTGTTGATAACAACAACCACTATCAACCATTTTTTTTTTTTTACAAAAACGCAAACTTTTAGATAGATAATTTTATAAACTTTCATTTTCTACTATTGAAAGCATAATACATGAAACAAAAGAGTTCTCAATGTAATGCAGCAATAAAAACCAACATTTAGAAGCTAAATTAAAAAGGAAGTGATTGATAATATAAATATAGCCAATCTTGAGAATCAATTGATAGTTGATTTTTAAAAATAAAATTAAGGTAATATAATTGAGGGATTAATGTTAAAAGGAATCATTTTTATGATATCGTTGGAGCTATTCATTTACAAAACTATTTAAGGAAGAACTTCTGTACTTTCTCACGATTATCATTCCATTTATTTGACATTTAGCATCAATCCTCAACGACATGGATATAAATGAGTTAATCACAGTAAAACGACTGTGGGTTTGAGATATTTAAGGGTATTTTATTAGCCACGCGACCATTTCACCAAATAAAACATAATGCACCCACATGTAGAACATATGTTATTGCTGAGTGTACTCAAGCATAGTGGTGTCTGTTTAGAGTCTTTAGACCATGACTTTAGAGTTTCCTATTATATATAAAGTATCTCAGCTTTTACAAGCATAAATAACGATGTTATTTATTATTTTAATAATAATTTTTAATATTTATTTTAACTAAATTTAATCAAAAACATTGTATGTATTCAAAGAATGTCCACGTTCTTTTTTTGTCTAGAATAATTAGAAATTAAATCTCATAAACTTCAACTCGCATACGCAATTTCTCATTAAAACTTTATTCAAATTTTAGTTTTCATCAAAAGTATTTTAATAGTTCATTAATTATAATTCAAAGTTGTTTATTGAGTTTTCTTATTAATTATACCTTCATAAAAATGCAATATATATACGTGTATACAGTGTATATTACATATCAAATCTATACAGAGATAATTGAAACTAAATTCACTGATGTTAAATCTCAATTAATACATCAATAATCAAGACTAATAATTAATGCAGCAATAAAAGAAATTGAAAAAACTTGTTGGATTTTATTAAGAGAGAAAGATAATTTTGTTAATAATAATTGCTAATGTTTAAGAATGATAAGACTTTTTAAAAATAATAAGAAAAGTTGAATGGCTATTAGATATTTAAAGTACGCTTAGATAACGAGGAAGACAGCTTGAAGCTTGGCTGCTGGAAATAAGAGGGATGGGTGAAAAAGGAAGACTGAGCAGGTACCTGCTCTCTCGATGTCAAGGACTGTTAAGCTCTGGTTCGTGAATCTGAATGGTATAATATAAAGGGCAACTACGAATAGGGGGACGAAGTGGAGAGGGTTTCGTGCACTTGTTACATACGGATACCGATTCCCTACTGCTCAAAGGTTCTCAATGGTTTTTTTTCTTAATTTATTTGTTAGTAAATAATCTCAAGATAAATTTATGTCAATCCAACAAAATTATTGATATCAATAACACATGTACAGAAATAACTGTACTATTTTAATAACTAAGTAATAAATTTAACTTTAAATCCCCCATTAAAATAATAATGAAGACATAAATTTTCCTGGTAGATATAATTAATTAAAGACTTTAGTAATAATCTATAAAAGTTAATTAGAGCTTACATTAGTAATTTTCACATTAAAAAACTGCAAGTAATCTGATTGGCTTAACGGATACTAAACTTTACAAAAGTTTAGTCGACTGAGAACCTCTATAACGTTGCCAGTAGA